GCTGGGCTCCGGCGATCCTTCCGCCTCAGCCTTCCGAGTAGCTGGAATTACAGGCGCGCGTCACCACGCCCGGCTGACTTTTTTATTTATTGTAGAGATGCGGTCTCGCTGCCCAGGCGGGTCTCTAACCCGCGGGCTCAGGCAATTCACTCACCTCAGCCTCTCAAAGGCGTGGGAATACAGGCTGAGCCACCGAGCCTGGCTAAGCATATATTTTATTATTAATTTTTGAAGGCACTTTCCCAAATGTTATTATTATTTTTTTATTTTTGTCAGGGGTTCTCTCTGTTGCCCAGGCTGGAATGTAGTGGCATGATTATGGCTCACTCCTAGGCTCAAGTGATCCTCCTATGTCAGCATTCCAAGTATCTTGGAACTACACATGCGTACTACCACACCTGGCTAATATTTTTATTTTTGGTAGAGACAAGGTCTCACTGGTGAATCTTAAATTTCTGGGCTCAAGTGATCCTCCTACCTTGGCTTTCCAAAGTGCTGGGATTACAGGCACGTGCCACCACGCCTGGCCTATTATTACTTTTTTTTTTTTTTGAGTTGGAGTCTCACTCACCCAGGCTGGAGGGCAGAGGCATGCTCCTGGCCACCGCAGCCTTGACCTGCTGGGCTCTGGTGATCTTTCCACCTCCACCTTCTAGGTAGCTGAAACTATAGGCATACGCTACCATGCCCAACTAATTTTTTGATTTATTGTAGAGACAAGGTCTTGCCAAGTTGCCCAGGCTGGTCTTAAACCCGAGAGCTCAGGTAATTCTCTCACCTCAGCCTCCCAAAGTGTCGGGTTTATAGCTGTGAGCCACCATGCCTGGCCTGGTCTATTATTACTTTTATTTATTTATTTTTTGTTTGTTTTTTAGTTGGAGTCTCACTCTGTCACCCAGACTGGAGTGTAGTGGCCGCTCCCGGCCACTGCAACCTCGACCTGCTGGGCTCCGGCGATTCTTCCGCCTCAGCCTTCCAAGTAGCTGGAACTACAGGCGCGCGTTACCATGCCCGGCTGGTTTTTTATTTATTGTAGAGATGAGGTCTTGCCAAGTTGCCCAGGCGGGTCTCAAACCCGCAGGCTCAGGCAATCCACTCACCTTGGCCTCCCAAAACGCTGGGATCACAGGCTGAGCCACCGAGCCCAGCCTATTATTACTTTTAAATTGAGGTAGAATCTTGCTATGTTGGTCTCAAACTTCTGGGCCCAAGTGATCTTCTCCCTCAGCCTTCTGAGTAGCTAGGATTACAGGCATTAGCCACTATGCCCAGCTTTGTTTTTATAATCAAAAAAGGTCAAAGTCATTGAAATCTATGCCTCTCCAGGTCTGGCTGGCCTAATCCTAACACTCAGGGACAGATGCCCACTGTGAAAGGCCTTTGGTTAGAGCCTCTATACAGGCAGGGTTTTGAGGAGCCAGGGAGTCTAGGGCACAGGTCAGAGTCAGGGCATCCAGGAATCTGCAGTCCTCACCTTGGCCTGTGCTACTTCTTTGCTGGTGAGCACGAAGAGGACATCCTGGGTATGAAGTAGAGACAAAGGCAGGTCCAAAAAGGAGATATACTTGCGCAGCACATTCACAGATTGGAGTGTGAGCACAGAACACCCTGGGCGGGGAAGAGATAAGGAGAAGTGAAGAGCCTTGTTGCCCTCAGCCTGATTTTCACCTGAGGACCCTCCCTCCCCATTGTGGCTCAGGGCCGGGCATCGAGTGGCTGAAAGTTTGTCAGGCGTCTCTGTGGCACCAAAGTTGCTCCTTGTCTATCATTCTTGAAGCTAGAAAGAATGAAATGGTCACAGAAGATCTGGCTGGCTACCCCTTACCCTGCTGCGTGCGCTGGCAACAAGAGGTTGATTGCTAGAGGTTGTGATCTGGCTACCTTGAGGCCAAAGGAAAGGTGATAGAGACAGACGTTTCTGTAATGGGAGGCCAGAGATGTGGTTTCAGCAGTGTCACTCAAGAACTGACAGACTTGGTAGAGTCTCTTAACTATTCTGAGTCTCAGTGTCCTAATCTGTAAAATGGTGTTGATAGTGTGAGATCTGCCAGTCTCACAGGGCTGATATAGGAATCAAATGGATGATCATCATGTTCTAAAGACTTCAAGGCTTGGTGGGCTCAGTCAGCCCACACAGAAAAGGCACACACTACTTAGGTTTTCATCAGTTGAATCTTCTATCTCCTCTGTGAGGTATGACAGACCACAGACTGGCTCAGAGAGTTAACAAGCATGGGTGTCACGCAGTAAAAGTTCAAGTGGTGTCAAATGCCTTGCTGTGGGTTAGGAAGAGTTCCTGACTCAAGCAGATTGGTCTGTCAGGCACCCATCAGTCATTTACAACCTGGTTAATTGGTTGGGCAATGGGATGTGAGTTCAGGTAGACAGACTGTAAGAATGCCAGAGGTGGAAAAGACCTACTCTGTGAGCTAGGAGGTGAGAGGCAAGCCCGATCTCCCCTCTCATCTGGAGGCAGCCCGGCTGGCAGGCACTTGCTGATGGATATAACCTTCCAGGCACCCCGAGCTGAATCAGGAAGAGTATGGCTGGCTTCCCTGACCCCTGCTTCTGCCTGGTCTAGGGCAGCTCTCTGTGTATTTGCAAATTTCCCTCTTATAAGTTTCTTAGAGGTATAACAAGCAGTGTCCTTTTGTAAAAGGGTCAAGCCTTACCTTCAGGTAACTTCCCTTCTGAGGACAGGGCCCTAAAGGAGGGAAAGGGTGAGAGTGAGAGGGGGAAGACCTGACCATTCCTTTGGAGGTAACAGGAGGGAACTTCAGAGGGACGCCGGCCACGCCCACGGTCCTCTCCACCTGGGTTTCCAGGTGGTTCCGTTTGCATAAATCACCATATAGATTTCCAGGATTTCATACCTCTGGCTATAGCTGAAGGGACCAGAGTGGGCATCTTACCCAAGGATATCCAATCCAGAGGCTAGTCTATGGCTTAACAAGTTTTGCCCAAGCTTGGTCCAAGCTCTGCCCTTTAGACTCTTTAAAGCTTTCCTCCTGAAATTGTAAAGTGAGTATGGTGGGAGAATATTTTAATATTGATAGTTCTTCCTTGATATTTCCTTTCTCAATTCTGACCTTCCCACTCCCCATTCCTACCTTCTGATAGTGAAGGCCATTCTGTGCTCACTGCCTTAAGAGGAGGGATGAGGAGATTCCACTGGCAATCAGCTCTGAATCTCTTTTCCACTTTGTTGTTTTGAAACTTGGAAGGTGGAGAAGGATAAAGTAGGCAGCCCCCTCAACACATAGACAGGGACTCTTGGGAGCAGGGTTTAAAAAAGAGAAGTTGAGTCGGGCTCGGTGGCTCAGCTTGTAGTCCCCGCGCCTTTGGGAGGCTGAGGTGAGTGAATTGCCTGAGCCCGTGGGTTCGAGACCCGCCTGGGCAACTTGGTGAGACCTCATCTCTACAATAAATCAAAAATCAGCTGGGCGTGGTAGCGCGTGCCTGTAATTCCGGCTACTCGGAAGGCTGAGGCGGAAGGATTGCCAGAGCCCAGCAGGTGGATGCTGCGGTGGCCAGGAGCAGCCACTGCACTCCAGTCTGGGCGACAGAGTGAGACAACACACACACACAAAAAAGGGAAGTTGATAGAGAAGTAACAAACTCATAGGACTGACTGTTTTGCAGGGCCCTGAGAAATAGACAAACCTGGAAATGTTCTGAGTCTGAAGTGGCCAGGTTATCCAGGGAAAGAGGTGAGCACTGAGGGCACACACCTGAAAATCACATGCACAGCCCTTCAAGACACAGAGGAATTTGTGCTGAGAAGGGCTGGAGAGGGAGCCCGGGGAACAGGGTCCACCGAGGGGTCTCTCTAGTGGGAGGGATGCCAGGAAGAGACTGAGAAAGTCAGAAAGGCCAGAGGGAGTTGGACAAGCTGGTGCTGTGCAAACCAAAGCAGCATTTCTTTTCTTTCTTTTTTTTTTTTTGAGTTGGAGTCTCACTCTGTCGCCCAGACTGGAGTGCAGA